TAGCTCCTTCGTACGTTGATTATGTACAATATTAAAACAGCTGAAGCTCTCCGTAATCAAATTTCAGATAGGGTGAGAATCGGTGGCTCAACGAGATGAGCGAGGTTCAATGGAAGTGGTGGGTAGGGGGAAGTTTTTTTTTAAACAAATGTTCTTCTGCATTCTGGGACCCCTCTGTGCTGCCAATTTAATGCCTGTTAATAAAAGATTTAAATAATTTCTGTCTGTAGTTAATGTTATTTAACCTTTTTGATAGGCCTACTTACTTTGGTGCTTTTTTTTAAATTTAATATTTTTTTCTGGAAATGAGAGCTCGTGGGCTTGGTTCAACCAGTTGAGCTACTTGGAGAAGCACTACATGGAAAGAAAAGAAAGTGAACAATAATTGCCAAGCAATATTAGTTAGTAAAGGGAGACAACTACATTGAAAAAATTCCTTTTCAGACAGACATTAAATTTAATGGAATTTTTGTTATGGAGTTTCTCGCTTGATCTTTATTTCTTGGTTGTATTCGAAACTGCCCAATTTCAATTTTGATCATATTCATGTAATACCTATTTTTATGAAAATTGGTTTGAACACTGAAGTAGTGAGATCACAGGGGGTTAATATTCAGAAAGCAGTTCAGTTCAAACTTGATCTTCAATTTAGGTTCATGTTTAGCCTATATCTACAAATTTTATTGAAATCATTCAAAAGAAAACTGTAGATTCTATAGTATTTTCAATATTTCTAGTTTTCAATCAAATGCGAATTTGACTACTGAAATATCATGTAATACAATATCATATTCATCTTTTCTAACACTCTATCATCTGAAAGTTGATAATGCAAGTCATTACTTTCCATATATAAACTATATTATTTATGGATGTCAAATTTTTATTCATTACTAGGTCTACACAGTGTTACCACTGATATCAATAAGAGACTGGATAATATGTCTCCATTTTGGCCAGGTAACTATCAGCATTCTAGTCTTGAAGTCGATACAAATGAATTTTGGCATCACCTCATCACTAGTTACTCCATTTTTGTTTTTCATTTCTGACCAGATTTATAGGATGTATTCTATCTTTGGCAAATCACTATAGTATATTCAGTGTTCATCAGGAATAACAGTAAATATGCAGAACAAAATTTGTTTAATCAAAAACATTATTGCATTCAAAAATAATCATTAACAAAACAATTATTATTAATCTCACTCATTTTATCAAAAAATATGTTTAAATCTTTTGTGTAGTCAAAGCAAAATATCTAATGTCTTGTATATTTCAATGGATGATTTTTATTTTTATTTTGATAGCTGTGTTGGAGAATAATTTTAGGCATATGTTAAGCACTTTAGAGATTTCTATTTAGAATTTCAAATTATAATAATCAAATAATATAATTTTTGTTGGCATGAGAACAGTTAAGATTTGTAACTTAATTTTGAAGTGTGAGAGAACTTGACTGTCTAGTTATATGAGATATACAATAAATAAGTATTCAGAAATATTTGTAATAATGTCTGTCACAAAACAAATAGTCATGTGTTTAAATCTCAGAAAAGGGGCCCAATTTTGGAAGAAGAAAAATGATCTATAAAATCATACATGCCAGTTGTAGGTTATACTTCACAAAATTTTTCAGTAATCAAATTTGACAATCTTAAGAAATGAAAGAGATTAAAGAATATGAGATGACAATAAATTATAAAACATATAGTTGTTGAGAATGGAGTGTTAAAACATCACTAGTGTTATTCTCTGTTAATTCTCCTGATTTATCTTTACTCTTACTCATTACTATAGGTTTACTGTTTAATTTAAATACAGCACCAACCTATAAAAAAAATATTATCAATTTAATTCAAGCTAGTATTTTCTACTGTCCATGTACTCAGGAGTTGAGTATTATTAGGATGGAACCATTAAATTAATATTTGACCTACACAAATAGTGAGCTTGAACTTCACTTAAAACTTAGTATTTCAAAGTTAAAATCATAAAATGGCAAGATATGAACAACCTAATGGGAAACTAGGCATATATACCTTACACAAAAAAAACCTTTTTTAATATATCATAATAACAAATTTATAAAATAGACACAGGATTATCATTGTTCTTTTGGATTCAAGGAAGCCAAAAACAAATCAAAATGTTCAATAAAATCATCACTCACTTGTTTTAATAGATGTGAAAAGCTGAAAACATCTCCTCTAGGATTTTCTAACAATAACACTCCCTTTGTTGACTTAACGCCCTTACTTAACACCTCCACATTAGCAAAATGACAAACAGGAGAGGTGAAAGTGGAACTAGGAGCCGTGACTTTAATACCATTAGTAGGGGTAACATACAGTGTTTTACTGCTAAATGATTTGATGTCTGATTTCTCTGTTACTTCCCGTTTTAAACCAGAGTCTGAATGGACTTGGATATTGCGTCCACGTAATCCAAACACAGATTGGACCTAAAACGAATGATCAACAATAAAAACTGAGAACATATAGCCTCACAAAGAGATAACTTTTGAAATATAAAAACTGAATGAATGTTGTCAATGGTTTTTGTATACCAAAGAAAGCCACCATAATCATACAATACAAATCACTATGCCGGAAGAATAACTATTAAACTCTGCCATGCACATAAACAATATTTTTTTCATTGATTTTACATATAATTTGTTGTACATAATATCAGTAAGATTTCAGCAACTCTGCCATACAATTAACATCATTGAGAGTTGCAATAAGAATCTACGAAGAGAAAATAATTTTACCTGCTCTAAAAACTGTGTGCCTGACAACTTATTTTCTCCTACTGGATTTTCTAACAATAGAGTACCCTGGTTTCCATGGAAACCTTCTTGAGACATTAAGTTACCACACAAACTTAGATTAATAAAAGGAACTAAGGGTTTGACATTATTAACAACTGGAGCTGGTAATAGAGAAGTCTGGTTCTTGGCAGGAGTTGTAGAACTTGATGTTTGTACAGTAGATTCTGATCTCTTTACATCTCCTACTATTGTCATTTCTAATGTGTTGTCTTTAATCTACAAAAGAAAGATATCATGAATTTCTGAAGTAAATTCTATTTAACAGTCATGAAAATATAAACTTTTTTCCATCTGCCCAATAAGAAAAAGATCCTTTGACAATCAAAAATTCAAGAACTCAGAGCAAATTTCAGTTAATCTGGATAATAATGGGTTTAAACTCAATGTTATGCTTGAAAAAAAGAACAACTATATTTTTTTTACAAGGATAACAACTTGGGTTCAATTACCAGCTCTGCCTTTGCGTAACTTTGGTATTGATCTTTCCCGCATTATCTGTACCCATTTACAGCTGGGTTGACTCATTTTTGAGTGAAGATTATTTATATGTTCAGCGTAACCAAGCAAATGACGACATGTAAGAACCAAAACTCTAACCAACTGTCTCCAAGTCCAAAAGCAAAAAATTTTTCAAAACAATAGACCTACTTTTAGAGTAAAATAACTATAACATACCTTCATACTCTCAGTTATTATAATATTACCACTAGGAGTGGTAGTGTAGGGTTGTAGCTGTTGTTTTATGGTATTACAGATAAAGTCAGTGTAGTTCTTTATAACATTATCAAGATTCTCACTGGCCTTATAAAATACTGTTATCTCATCTGAAGGTTGAAGCTTGGCCTTTTTACGTAATTTCTGTATTCTATTGATAACTTCTCTAGCCACACCTTCATCTATCATAGATTGATCTGGAGTCACATCTAATAGTATCAGAATCTGAAAAATAAACATATGAACATAAATCTACACCCCTTTTTCTCTCTTTTAGTTTTCTCACACACCTTGTTTTTCTCGTAACCCCTTTGTTCTTAAAAGAAGGTTGCTATATAGTGACCTTTATCAATGCAGAATTAAGTTTATAACAGGTAGAATATGTACATGAAATCTAACATGAATTTCGTTCGCCGAAACCCCTCAGAACATGGAAAATTGAACAGTCTTTAACTCACCTCTCCTTCCGAATGAGTTTCATAATTTGAGCCTTCTGAATCAGATACATACATCAATCTTAAATCTTCATGAACTAATTTATGTCCTAACACCTCTATTTCTCCTATTTTTTTAAAATTCACCAATAACTTGTCAGCCAGTTTTCGGATTTCATCTGTAACTTTCTTAAATTCACCCTTTAATTTTAAACCTAATGTTTTGTGGTCTGGTTCTGCACGAAGACGGACACCATATTTTTCTTTATCTGTAGTCACTGTTAAGGTTCTAACATTCAATTCCTTTATAATTGAAATAACATAGATTTGATGACCAACTGAAATTGATATCTTGATACACAGAAAGATTGACTCGATCTAATATCCTGTTGATAATTTACTTTTAAAGATTCATGGTGATTTTACTACTCACAAATATTACATTTTAGAATATCAAATATAATCAAAATAACTAACAAAAAGTACCATTATTTTATATCCTACTTTACTTTCTTTGAATGAGCCAATAATAACAAACATGCTCTACAATGTACCAGAGAAATTTTCCTATTTCCAACTGTTGAGATCTTGCAAATAAAATCACAATTTTACATACCTCTAGTATATATTTTTCCAATGATTTAATATCATCTGTAGCTGCTGTATCTTGATGTATAGCTACTATTTCTTTTAATGGATACTGAAACAAGGAAAGGGACATAGATCATAATCAATAAAATAAATAATATAAGACAAAATCACATCCTGGTTTAACTCCAATCATTTTAATTGATTTATGGAATAAAGTAAACGGGTCTTAAAATGATTGTACTGTACCTTAGTAGGCAGAGTTTTTCTATCACGAACAACTCGACCCAATTCTATTACAGTCTGCATTCTACTCACTGCCTCTTCTATCTTTTTATCTATCAAGTTTTCTCTGTAATACAATAAGAGTTATGGAGGATGAATGAATGAGTGAATGTATGAATAAAAGAATGTTACAAGCCCACTAAATTATTAAAAATCATAGTGTCTCGTGATTTTTCAATATCTAAATCCATGTGGAAATTATCTCTAGTAAGTATCAGACAAAATAAATTTACAATGTATGTTCTTCCAAAGCTCACTACATCATCTACACAAAAATCTTTTTTCTGTTCTGCATCAGATGATTCTAATTTTATTTACCATATACCTTAATAATTACATCCAAGTTTTTTTGAATCAGATTGACTCAACTGTCTTTGCTTCATTCTCCAGGCCATAGCTTCAAAACTTATAGCAAGGATCATTTACACATATACATAAATCTTGAAGTTTTATTTACCCACTCCCCATGTTATAGATGTATTATAATAATATACATACCTAACTGGAGGTATCATAGTAAAATGAACACTTCTAGTATCAGTTTTATCACCTTCCACAGTATCTTGTAACAATCGTAGATTCTGGTACATATGTTCTGTTAGAAACGGAATAAATGGAGCCTAAAATCAAAGCAATACTATGTATAATGATATTTGAAATAGAGACGAAAGAAATTTCATGTGTGCTTTTCCTGGCTAAGCCATTCAGTAATGATCTGTTTAATGATTTCTATTTCTATAATTCAACGTTGTCCATCAGAACAAAAGAGTCTTCAGAAGCTTTTTTAAGATATCAACATTTTCTCACAGTGTGGAGCTTTGAAATCGTGACCATTTTATATTCCTATGAGGGGACGTTTTAAAGGAATTGATTTGAGGATAGGAGATATATACTTACCATAACTTTAGTCATCGTCATGACAACAGAATATAAAGTTTCTATAGCCATCTGACAATCTTCTACACCACCATCTCCCTTTAAAGAAAAAAATAAAATTTCCAATTTCTAAAAATATTTTTTTGATTTAATGAACTAATGACAAAGAAATTGAATTCCTCTATTGACAGTAATGAAAAACAAGAATGTTTTGTGAATGTTACCAAAATTAGATCAATCTAAAAAAGAAAGAAGATTTCTTACACATTTTTGTTTTTTTGAAGGCAAACATAACTTGATGGCTGTTAGATTCATATGTTAGGTTCATAATGTACAAGAGTTTAAAAACTTCATGAATGAGGTCACCCTACCTTTAACCTTTTTCTATTCATTCTAACATACCAATTGGTTAACTGATCTACAAACTTGACTAATCTAGGTGTCACTGTATACAGTCTATAGGCTGAAATTTAATTATAAACTTAATAAGTTTGATTGATTTTTAAATTTATGACACATACTTAAACACCCATGTCTGTTATATTAACTTTGTTAATTTACTGCTTATCAATCATAAACTTACCAGCCATTTCTTCTTTAACATATTTAACTAATGATTGAGTGAATGATAAAATCCATCTGTCCATATAGTTACTAGATATTATAGTCGTCTTTTCATTATAACATATCTTAATTCCTTCCTCCTGAAAGCAACCAAAACTAATAATGTTAGCAAGTGTTCATCAAATTCTCCATAAAAAAATTAAAGCTTACATGCCTCATCAGGAAAAAATTTTACTTAATAAAGAAGAAAGAGTCATGTTAAGCTATGTGTGAAAAAGAATTTTGATCGATTTCCATGAAGTTTTATTGGACTTATATATCTTAACAATTTGCCACAATAAATTAGAAGTATATACTGTCCTGCACTAAATTCTCCAGTCTAGACTTAAGGAATGGCTAACATTCTGGTGAGTTTAGGACGATAAACTGAACAGATTATCATAACTGAATCAAGCAACTTCAGATTTACATTCTCTGCCAGTAAACTAAATGTCACTAATAATATTCTAATCTTACCCTTTCTAATTTCTCAACATTCTGCATAAGGAATCTATAAGCATTATACCAGGGTAGAAAAACATCTTTTAATATATCTCTTACACCTTCTTCTTTAAATCTTAATGAATCAGCACGGACAGCTGGTGAATTGATTAAGTATAACCTAAATAAATAACAACATTATCAGATGTTTTCTTTGTTTACCTATGTTAGTTATGCATAACCCATAATAGAAAATATCAAATTGTCAATGCCAATAACTTAATAAATATTGTCTCACCTGACAGCATCAGCACCAAACTGATTGACAATTTCTTTCACATCAGGGTAGTTCTTTTTACTTTTACTCATCTTTGTACCATCTCTAATAAAATAAACAACTCATAATAAATACAATAACTTCGATACTTTATTATCATAGTAATATAGTATCAATGTTGTATAGTGTAAGAACTAGAAAAAATATCTTAAAACATAACTTACTTTGCTAGAACTAAACCATTAACAATGAGGTTCTTAAATGGTGGTTTTCCAAATAGTAAAGTTGATAATACTAATAATGTGTAGAACCTATAAAATACAAATAGAAATGTAAAACAATCATAAGTGAGCTCAAATGGACATAGTTCTTAAAATAAAGGTTCAAAAAAGTCAAAATAAGTATGCCTAAATATACATTATTAGTATTTGTACTTTACGAGTGGGTCCTGGGTTTCAGAGAGGCCTGTTTGCTTAGGCTGAGCATGTGTTTACAGCAACTACAGCCGTAGTTCAATAGCAATATTGTCAAATTCATTTAATCTTTGGACTTTGACTTGAAAATTTAACACCAATAGGTTGAAAGAACAAAATATATTATACTGTATAAGACAGTCAACTATGGCAATCCACACTCTGAATGAGTGATTTAATATGGTTAATTACAGAGTTATTGTTTTACTATTTTAAAGAAATACAATCTACCTAAAGCAGAAGATTAAACAAACAACTTACCACCCTCGAGTCTGATCAATTCCCTCAGCAATAAAATCAGCAGGAAAACTATCTTCAAATTCCTTTTTATGCTCAAATGGGAAATGAGCCTGTGCATAAGGCATACTTCCACTTTCAAACCAACAATCAAACACTTCTGATACCCTTCTTAAAACACCTTTACCAAGTTTAGATGGTATGGTTAGATCATCAATACTGTCAAATAAAAGACATAGTAAAGCTATATATTCCTATTACATCATTTGATAAATCTCCTTCGAGATATTAAGAGAGTCCTAACTGTTGCATTCAGTTTCCAAATATATCAATACTCAATGCTACTGTTATAAGTAAATTCTTGTTTCCAAAATAATAAAGAATATTTAATGAAAATGACATGTGAAGAGCAAGTTTCAAGTAATAAATCTATACAAACTTTTCTCTATGAAGATCTGTAACATTAGCACCAGTCAATTTATTCAATTCTTCTATTGAACCAACACATACAATCTATACAATAGAAATAAACAATAACAAGTCATGGTATAGTCAAATGTTCCAAATAACATAGTTACATCAAACACATAGAATCATAGTATATTACCTCTTCACCATCATCACTGATCCACAGTGGTATAGGTGTACCCCAATATCTATTACGTGATATAGCCCAGTCTCTAGCATTCTTCAACCAATTAGCAAACCTCTTCTCTTTTATAAAATCAGGAACCCTGAAAATAATTGACATCAACTTGAAGCTTATTAAACTGCAATATGACAGGACAATGATAAATCTTAAATATCATAATATACCTGAGTAACCTTCTATATCTCAATTTCCTTATGAATTTAAACATAGTTACCTTTCTTCATTATATAACATTCTAAATCTATATTGTTCAAATACACTTACCAATAAGTTTTTTCATTATTAGCTAAAAGATTGTCTACTGCTTGTTCAACACGAACAAACCAACTTGGTACAGCACGATAGATCAATGGTGTCTCTGATCTACAAATATCAAACACAATAATTAAAAAACTTTGAAAAAATAACTCATAAACACATTGCTTTCAAAACACAAGCTGCAATAGTATTTCATAGTTATACAAATAGTGATATATACCTCCAACAGAAAGGATAACTATGATTCACTGTTCCAGCATAAACCATTCTTCCTGCCTGTTTTAAATGTTTTATAATATGTTTATCAGCTTCCTACAAATATAACCAATATGACAATATTGTTAACATATTGAAAGTAGAATATCATTAATGAAGTATAGCATAGGAACAAATAATGGATTAACTCCCATTTGACTCTTCCTTAATACAGATGTCTTGAAGTAAAAACTAAATATTTGGTTATGGCTTGAAATTACCTTTACATGTAGACCTTTAAAATGATGAACTTCTTCTGTAAATTTACCACTAGCATCTACAGGACAAACAATCTTCATTTCTTTAGTTATTATACCATATTTCAATGATATACGTTGATCATCCTAGCAGATAGAATAAAAGAAAGAAGTAATGAATGTATATGATAAACAGACACAGTATCAAAATCAATAAATTCTCTTTAAATAAATCAGTAACTAAAGTGAATAAAACTAACAAAAATAGGATCAATGTTTGAATTACATGTATATCATAAAGTATTACATGAAATCCAAGATGGTCAGCTTGAACAAGGTTCAAAGTTTGATATAAAATAATGCTACATTTCTCATAAGTTTGAGAAGATCATAAAATGTCTTCAAAACTTAATAACCAGAGTAACCAAAGAAAACAAATGAAATATATGGATTTTACATATTAAAGTATTACTCACCTCACCAAAATATGGAGCTTGATGTACAACTCCTGTACCACTTTCAGCTGATACATAATTGTCTGTCAGAATTTTAAAAGCTCCATTTTTTACTTTCAACTGAAACAGAACAAGCTGACTGTTTGGAAAAAGGATTGATATTGATTTCTTTGAGTATATGTAAGAGTAATTGTGAACCTCAATCTTGGAAAAAGTGGCATCTAATTTATGAACTTTATTTTTCACATTGTATATCGTGAGCACAACAAATAAATAATAAATTTCTAAGACTGTAGTAAACCAACTGATCAAAAAAAATTGATTCAAAATAAGACAATAGACATCAAAAATTCAACACAACATTGCACAGGGTTCATACAGCACTTTGCCTCAAAAACTCAAAGACTTTTCAAGGACTCTGGGCTTTGAAATTCAAGGACTTTTCAAGAACATTAGTCTGACAGAATACACATGTACCTTACTTCTGAACTGTGAAATCAATAAAGATAGTTAATATTTGTCAATGGGGTTAATGATAAAAATATACACAATTTGACTCAACTCAAAATTCAAGGACTTTTCAAGAGAAAATGGTTTTTTTATGGTGTTTTCAAAGACTTTTTTGGAAATCAAGGTTTTTCAAGGCAACGGACGGAATTCAAGGGTTTTTCAAGGCTGTGCAAACCCTGTTGCAAGTTCTTAAAGACAATGTAACTTACATCTTGAAAATAATCAAACAATGGTTTATATGTCTTTCCTTCTAGTGTTTTACCTTTAAACCTATAATATGTGAAATAAACCTGTTATCAAACTACATTGCACAAAACTATTGACTCTAATCAAATAGTTTATTAACTGTTATTCAAGCAAAAAAGAAATAGAAAGAAAAATATGTTTAGCTATTGAACATAACTTGCTTTACAGTACTTACTTATCCAAAACCTTGTACTCATCAGGTGATTTAAACAAGGCCTCTATTCTAGCTTCTAATATAATATACACATTACTAGTGTTCAAATCTACAATACATAAAATCATTTATAAAATCAACGTTCATCATAGATTAAGACTTTGACCAAAACAAGCTTTAACAATGTGTCCATATTTTATTGGTGCTATTTCAATTTTTTATTATCTCAGTAAATAAGGTTCTGTATCTTATAAATTTCATGTATCTTTGTCTTAAATATTAAGGCATTCAGCATAAATCACTGCTTCATTTCTCAGCTGACAAATACAATTCTTGTTCAAATATTTAGTTAAACAATTCTGTTACCTTTTATTTTGACATAATCCATATCAGCATTAACACAAAGAGCTAGGTTACTTGGGAGTGTCCAGGGTGTGGTGGTCCATGCTACCATAGATACATTTGGGTCTTCATCTAATGGAAAACTTACATACACTGTAACAAATATATCAAAAAATAATGAACGAATATGATGACAATACAAATTTAAGTAAGAAAAAAAGTACCTCAGATTCATTAAAGGGAAGAGCAATCTGAAAATCATGAGTTTGTTCTATTCACGGGCAGATATTTGTTCGAAGTAAGAAATTATTTATCATTATTCAATCTTATGTGAAATCTACTTCTTGCCTTTTTACTCTAAATATTACCAGAGAATGCTGGTAAATGAGCACATGATGTGAACTAAAATGATTCCTGTGTGTTTTGATATAGTTTTTAGAATTTAATTTTATAATTCAGTCCATTCGTTGAGTTTGGACACTAAACTAATAAGAAATGTGAACCCAATTATGATCAATGATGCTTGAATATCAGCATAAAATCTTACACCGGCATCCAGTCTAGTAGGGAAAATCATAAAAACAAAATCAAAAACATACCTGCAGGATCAGTTACATCTTTATAATTCTGTCCAGATTCAAAATTAGACAATGGAGTGTTACAGGCTGTAGAGTAAGGCATTACCTACAAATAAGCAATATTGTTATAAAATATGTAGAAGATTTATTTTAACTGGTTATTTCAGTAACAATAAGACTAACAAGAACAAGATATCAGCAATTATATTATAAAATTATAGTTTAATCATTGTATTTAAGTGGGAAAACATCTTCCATTTTTATAATAACAAGAGATAGAAGATAACATTTATCCTAGCTATTAGTGAATTTATAACATTACCTTGTATCCTTGATAAACAAGTCCATTGTTATAGAGCTCTTTAAACACCCACCATATAGACTCCATAAACCACGGATAAATAGTCTTATAATCATTCTTAAAATCAATCCATCTTCCAAGACGACTTACTATTTCCTGAAAGAGAATAGTTTAAATAAGTATCAACATCTACATGACCTTAAGCACCTTAAACTCTAAGGACATGAGTGATGTACAGTTGGTCAGAGTGTTAGAATCATGATGTCATATGCTTGAGGAAACAAAATTAATGATGGCTGTGAGTTATAGTTTCTTACTATATTGACCCAACTGGAAATGGGTATGGATAATCCAGGAACAACCAATGCCATGAGGACCAGTTCAGCTTGTAGCCCGGATGTTCTTACCCTTGTAAAATATGGTTGTTTCTTTCCTTCTTTCTGATATAACTAGTAATAGTTTGGAGATGAGTTTTATACTAACCTCCCATTCAGTTGAATATCGAGAAACAATCTTTCTACATTCAGCATTATAAGCTCTAATACCCATCTTAGCTACATCTTCTGGTCCTTTTATACCTAAACTTTTATCAATTTCATACTCCTACAAATAGAAACAGATAATATATTAATATCTATATAAGGGAAAAGCTCTGATTTGTAATGGCAAATGTTATGTATTTATCACATGTATCTAACAAAAAATATATTTCTGTATGACTTCAAACATTGGTTTGATATATTCAATAGGTGTTAGCCAATATTTGCATTCAATTTTACTACTGTCATTGGACTGGAAGTGATACTTTAATATCAATGCTTAGTTTCATAACTAAGATAGTTTTGTTCTATAATATATTCTTACCACAGGCAGTCCATGACAATCCCATCCAAATCTTCGCTCAACATGGAAACCACTCTGATGTGCCCATCTTGTCACTGTATCTTTGATAGTTCCTGCTAGTATGTGACCATAATGAGGCAACCCTGTTGCAAATGGTGGTCCATCATAGAAAGAGTATCTGAAAACCAACATATCAATTAACAATGATAGTGGATAAATGTAAAAAATGTACATTCTTAAGGTCTTAAGAGAGTCCCAACATATAAATAAAATTAATTTACACCACTTAGCCTCCTATAAATTCTATCTGCATTTCAAATTTCATTTTCCTGAGATCAAACTCATAGAAGAGATTAATGATCAGATTTTGTATGTTGTAAGTTTCACATTTCAATATAAACAGTATACATACAAAAAAATTTCCTTCTGTAAAATCAAAGCGAAATTTTTTGTTTTGATTGGTTAAAAACCCATAGTTAATCTAAGACTATAAATCTTTGTTTTGTTTAATTTGGAAAGTTGCCATAAACAATAATGGTCGCTAAGATAACGTCATTGAATATTCAACCTTGGTCTTCCTTTCGATTGTTTTAATGCAGTTTGAAAAGCATCTATATCCTTCCAGAACTGGAGAATCTTTTCTTCTTCAGCTGGAAAGTTTATGCTCTCAGGCACTGGCTGAGTCATTGTCTGAAAAAAAAAAATAAACATTCCTGATAATTTGTAAATATTTTCACAACAGATATTTTGTAACTAAACTCAACATGAGCTTGATCCATCCATGAATGATAAAATGTTCACAGCAGATCTTTTGCTTTTGTAGCCAAGTGCTGAGCGTTGTCTTCACCAAACAGCCTTTTAATTTCCTATCAAATGATGCAAGGGTCTGTGTTTCACAGACTAAACGATAATGATAGGCATCAAAATTCTACTACAAAATCTAGTCTGGTTGCATATAGAAACAAAAAAAATTGTACTAGAGTAACACAAACCAAGCAGATGTTGATCGAGTAACACTACTATCTTGAATAAGTCACATCAATAAAAGCAAAACTCCACTGATCCTATTACTTTACCTTGTCGCCTTCTACCTGTTCAAACTTGATCTAAGGTGGTAAACAATCGTTTTTTTTTGCTTAAAATTGCTAATAATTTCCTTTTCGTTGCATCACCTTAATTTTCACATGTGGGAGAGGTCAAACTAAGAATACTTCCGGGTTAAGTCGGTTCCTTAAAATTGTTTACAAACGAATTTGTTTTCAATAAATAGCTTAGTGTAGAATTGGAACTCGTGAACTTATTTGTAGGCTACCTATTTCTAAACCTCAATCTCAGTTGAGAATAGCAAAAACAAGATGAATATTAATCTTTTCGTTTTAGCTTATCTAAAAGTCTATTATTTTCCGGCCACATATCAACTTCCGGTTTAAAATAAGAAAAGTTTTTTTTTTGCAAATCAAAATGAACTGATACTTTAGGACAATAACTTGTTTTCTCATTTCCCAGCACGTAAACCACTATCTCTGAAATAGGTCGTGAAAATGACAAACGGTTGGTAGTTATTTATTAGTAGACATAGATTATGTAATGTAACTTGAAAATGTAATTGTAATTTGTAATGTGTCTTGAATAACAGACACTGAACTGACTGCAATGACAGTCATTGACACAGACAGTGTCAATTATCGTTTCAATGATTTCTGGATGGAATTTTTTCTGTCATTTCTTTAATATTTAAATCAACTTTTTCCTTAGCTTTGGAAATATAGGGCCTTACCTGTGAATAAGTGCACTTTTCTCCCAGTCCCAAATTAGTTACCCTACCATTATTTATTGCATTTGACATCTCATGTATTCTTTGGGTTAAACAAGTCAATATTTTAATGTTTTTTGAAAAACGAAAAATATGTATATACTATCATTACTCAAAATTAATATTTTTCTTTAAGCTTATTCCTTTGATGGTCTGCTAGTGTTCAGTGTATTGGTTATTTGTACTTGTGCCTATATGAGCCGTATACCAAGATTAAAACAATGGTTTTTATCAGAGAAAAAAGGTTTTTTGGGTATATTTTATAAAGGTAATATTTAGTCTTTTTGATGTATTTAACATCTTAAGGTAGATTTTTTTCTTTATCTTATACAGCTAACTGTCTGACAGATAAGTTAAATCTTCTGGTTAATTTAATTTGGATACTTTTTTAAAGCTTACCTTATTCAAACTAATTTTAAATATTTTTTTGCAGCATCTGTGATAGGAACCAGATTACATATTCCTGTGGCATTGACTTGTATTTTAATGGCATTTTATGTCTTATTAATAGACTGATCTGAATGACTTCTTTCAAATACGAACCTTTCATCAAGTGTCAAGACATATGAGCACCCAACAGGTTATTCAAAATTCATTGTTTATCGTTACTTATCTTGAAGGCAATATAAAAGTATCTATTCATGGATATAACATTATCATATTCCTAGAAGTAAAAGAACAAGTGTATGGTGTATAAAATCCAGCTGCTTGGTGATTTACACAATCAGGTATGCAAGTCTATGATGACAGCAGCAAGCATTGGTTTAGAAGAAGTGCCATTTCTTTCTTATACTTACAGACCAATGTAACTTTCATCATCATCATCTGTTCAACACATTCAAAAATAGCACATATTTCTGCCATGTTTCATTGTGGAACAATTGTATGAACTAATTGAACAATTTTATTTTCAAATGTAATTGATATTTGTTCATCTTAATATCATTTAATATATATGTTTCTATTCATACATGGATCATGGCATGGGTGCATAGATATGTGCTTTAACATATTATACAATTGGTATGGGTGTTAAAATGGGGTTTATTTTCTAAACAAACTTGTGGTTTTCTTCTGTGATGTAAATAAATATTGTAAATATTGTGGTAATAAATCATATTTCTATTCTGTAAATTTCTATCATAACAATTTAAAGATATTTCAAACCAATGTTTTTAAATAAAGCCAATTCTGTTAGGGTCTAACCACGGCTCCCTTGAACATTCATCCATTCAAGGATACCGCCAGCTACTAAAATATCTTCAATATCCAACGCTTGGAAATTTAGTCTATTTTAATTAGACTGCACTTAAGCACAAAAAGCATAGCTTTCTACAATCAGAGGATGAATGGCTAAATACAGCAAGAATTCTACTATGGTTATTTACAAATGCGGAACATGAACAACAAGATATAATTTTTCTATATATTTATATTACTAGTATATATATTAAAGAACAATTCAGACTACTGTACATCTTGCTTAAATTGACATGATTCTCATAATTTATTATTTTCATTTCATCTGCCACAAATAAGTAGTAATAATTGGATAGATTAGCCAGTGTATTGTAATACACAAACTAATCCAACCTATGCCTGACTATTGCCCACTACTAACATTTGTAAAAGTATATGAATTATGTACAATTCTTCAATCAAATATTTCTATTCTAATTCTGTTGCAGAAAAGTAAATTTAAAAATATTCAGCAATACTATATGACAATTCTTAACATTTCACATGGAAAATAAAATGATCCAGCAATATTCTGCTGACCTATCAATTCAAAATTTTTTAATGGAAATTGACATTTTTTTTATATATGAACAATGCAAACATTGAATGCCCTAATTTTGGGATCTACATTTTTCAACAGTAAAAAAATATTTACTTGAAAGCTATTAGAAAATAAATTTGGCATGATTATTTGACTCTTATAATTTAATGTTCATAGCATCAATGCTTTTCAGACCATGATTATTTGAGATAAAATTTATGTCTATAATAATAGGCAGTTTAATAAGAAGTAAGATTCTACAAAAGTGAAATGCAAAGTCACTGAGATAATTATGAATTTTATATAACAATGGCAAAAGTCATTTAAGTCAATCCTAAAATCAAATTGGTCTATACCCTAAATGCAACACTTACGGCCTTTCACTTATGTTATTAATAAGATCTTAGATTACCCATGACTTACCATTTTAGATATCTTCTACCATATATTACTACATTCAAGACAAAAAGTGAGAAATACAAAATACTAATAAATGTTTTTAAACAGAAAAAGAGTATCACTGGGCATTAATATTTAAAAATTGTGATATATATACTGATGTAAGAAAAGTAACAGGGGGAATCTAAGGTGATGGTTTGCACAGGCTCTGAAATTTAAAGGCACAACTATTAAAATGTGTGAAACAGACATAAACTTCTCTATAAAAAATGCATAGCTATTCACAGAAATACTGACATAATATGGCAATCATTCTGTAACATATCAAGTAACCAATAAATGGAGAAAAGTTATGGGAAGCTAAAATTGAATTCCATACATGTACTTTGTATTGATGTAATGTTTATGGCAGTCAACGTATAAATGAAAGAATCTAGAAACTAATAGAATAACTAGACTTCAAAACAATTATCCTAATAAAACTGAGCAACTCAATCTAATTCATGAGCTAATAACAGATAAGATTATTTTGAACATAATATATGATTATAATTATATAACATACTATATACACCAAATATTGATATAACCTATGTTATTAATATAAAAATAATTTTGATTATCTACAAGTGGCTCCAAAATCCATACTGTCTCAATAAGGGCTATAAAATATAAAGCAATGAAAATCTACATCTGCTTCAAATTATGGATACATCTCTATTCAAAATCTTTACACTTAATAAGTACAGTAATTTAAAAAGGTGCATATAAACCATTATAAAATCCTTAAGCTACAGTGAGTTGAATTGAAGAGTGTAAAAAAAATACTGGCAGAAAATTTAACTTTGTATCAAAAAAGCAGAATAAATACAACAAAGTCATCTAGAATTAACCAAAATGACATAGTTTAAAATAACAAATATGAATCTAAATACTTTTCAAGGAGTTTTTAGATTTGTTTCTAAGATTATAATACAACATAAGTCTGAAAAAAGAGATAAAAATGGATTTTCAATTTGTTTACGAAATTCCGGAAAAAAACTAGCAATACTACCGGTACTAGTGTAGGGTATTGCCATGATACAATACTTATCGTCAAAAAAGAGATACAACACGATACGTATCCAATAGTAATAAACGAAAAGTTACACCTTATCTTTTTATATGTATGAACATGTTTGTCTGGTATGCTTAATATCAATACATTACAATACATGTAATGTGATGTATCGATTCACCAATATATAGCACTAATAGTAATTACTACAAATGGTAACAAAAAGTTTGATAAAGAATGGTATCAAATTGAAAGTATAGCTGAATATTCAAACTCTATAAACTTATTTTATATTCATTAAAAAATTGTTCACAATTATTTATTGAAAATTCTTTAAAATATACATTTATGGGACACTTAAATTTCAATAAGATACAGTGAGAATTTTTGTATGTGTCCTATATTTCTTATGATCAAAATTTGTGGTAAACAAAATTTTACTTGGTGTGAAATACCACACTAACAAAACTGCTCCAGACCCCTTCAGATATAAATGTTATTTTTACAAGTTAGAAATAATGCTGCCAGCCTGATATTAAATAAGTCTAGGTCGTGGGTCAAGTAGGAAATTCCAAAAGATTTTTATCATTAATATAAATCTAGACCCAAAAATTTACAGTTTGATTAATAACATATTATGACAGTTTACTTCATATTTACAATTTGTACATTATTAATTCAACTCACACTTTTCTCTCTAATCTTTCCTTAAATTCTTAATGCTCTTTATAGATTATCCATTTTATTACTAAACTACATATTAAAGTTTCTGGCATGTATTATGGTAGTTTGTTTTGAATACAACAAAATGGTATTCACAGAACATCATAAAAAAGAATAATACAAATATGCAAACTATTTCAGGCTGCATTTCTCTTTTGTATTAGGGTGTATTGAGACAAGTCTCAATGAAAGCACTGGCGTAGATCAAAGAACTTTTGTGATAGAACCATACCAATACATTATGTAATGAGCTTTAACATGAAGTGCAGTTTCTAGCCTGCACTAATTAATTTTGGATATTATCTGTATAAAATTTGTCATATCATTTAGATATGGCAGATGTGACCATATTTTCAATGCAGAAAGTTGTCCTGTAAACTTCTGGGTCATCAAACAGTCTATATATATATATGGCAACAAAAATTAATCAAAAACAAGTATTAATTAAAACCTAACTATAAAGGTAAAATTAAACAGCTGCTGAGCTTTCTTCTTTCTTTCTCCGTTTATTTAGGATGGGATTATTTGAATCTTGTAAACTTTTAATATTTATAGAGGCATCATAATCTACTCTCATTGTAGCTAAGGCATTAGTCATTTCTTCCTGTAATGATAAAAATATTCATTGAAGAATTGTATCATGGATTAGATCTTATGTGATCTGATCTGATGTAACATGCCTTATAAATAATTGTAAATTGCACCTAGTGATATTTCAAGTTAAGTTATTTGTATTTAGGCAAAACATAGATGAAAGTAATAAATATTCATATGTTTTTGACTTTTGAAGTTGAGTTTAGTTTTGACCACAGATTAGGATCAATACTTTTAGGTTGTTTAGACATCAGTAAATTTTGATCTGGTATAATAAGTTAACTGCAGTACTCAGTAAAATTGTTTACAGATTACCTGAACATCCATCCAGACATCACCTTCTTCTTGTAAGATTCTAGCTGACATGAGAGGAGTTGGGGGTACTAATGTATGATCCTAAAAATAATCATAAAATGAAATATTGATAAATATAAATTTATATTCATAAATATAAGATGGGTCAAAATACCACTGTCAATGCTACGATGCTATCAGAATATTGTCTTGCCAATCAGTTTTCTATGAATTAAAATATCAACTTCAAATACTACCGAGAGTCTAAGAGTCGGAGATTAACTGTTAACAGTAAAATTAACAGTGCACATTAATGATTGATTTCCTTAATAAAAGCAAAGTTATACTCACCGATATCCATTTCGTACGTAATACATCCTGAATCGTTAAGCGCTGTTCAGGATCTGTTTTTAATAAACCCTTAATTAGATCTTTGGCTGGTAAAAATAAAAAGTCTGGTATAAAAAATTTGACTGATGAAAGGTTCTAAATCAATTTTGGGTAAAAATAAGGAATAAATACTCAGTAAGTCTCAATGCTATTGAAATTTCTGAAAAACAGATTAAATTTTCTTCACAAAAGCATCAGTGATTAGTTGAGAAATTATCAACTAAACATTCATCTTTCTGAAACTGTCCTTTTCTGTCTCATTCATTATGATAGGTATAATTTGCACTAAGCTGATATACGATTTTCAGCACCTATTGATATGTGACAGTCAAACAATACAATTCAATGTTACTGTACTAATCTTACCATCTTGTGAAACTCTACTCCATTCTGGATTAGGAAATTCATACTGACCATTACGAATACGCTTCTTCATACCTGGAGATATAGGGGCACCATGGTTGCTATAAAATGGCGGATAACCACACAATCTGAAAAATAATTTCAAATAATACTATTCTTTAAGAAAGTGTCTTCTTAACTAAAAGTAGAACTCAATTTTGCACTCAGAAAAACCTTAATTTCAAGATATTGTTAACAGTTTTTTCCAAAATCATTGCTTCCGTCACAGAAATTAGTTCCATGGCAAATTTTGGAAGAAGATAGAACTTTTATTACATATATTATAAAGAAGAGGATGACATACCATTAATACTTACAATATATACATTATAACTCCTAATGACCACATGTCACATGATTTATCATATTTTTCTGGACCTAAGACTTCAGGAGCTGAAAATAAGCAATAAATATAATTTAATATCGAACAGTTGACTCTCTTATACATTAAAATAATTCAAAAGCAGATTAACTAAAAGTGTCTTATACGAGCTTGTATTAAATTTCAAACAAAGCTACATGTTCAACCGATGGTTTAAACAGCACAAAAATAGTTACAGCACAGGCCCAATTCATGGTCTGATCATCCCCAAATTTAATATGGATCAAAATGTTTCCCATGTACTAGTCCAAGTCAACACGTTTAAAAAAAGAACCATGATTCATCTGAGATCTCACCTAAATAGTAAGTCAAAATAATAATAGAAGTCATCCAAGATTCACCAAAATAAATTTATAGGCAAAGTTTCTTCAATTGGAATCAAGATAGTAGTCTTTATTTCCTTTCCTGACTATTTTGATGTATTCATGCTAGATTAATGACAATATCTCAAAGCAACTGCACAAGTGAAAACGATATACGTCCATAGTCATCTAAAATGTAACACTTACCAACATAATACGGAGTATAGCAAGGTGTCTGTAGTGATTTGACGGCAGCAATTTCTTTAGCAAAACCAAAATCTGTTAATTTTAGAACTTTGGTATTTTCATCTTTGGAACTATACAAAAGATTTTCTGGCTGTAAAAGAATAAGTAATGAAATATTGACTTGAACTACTAGTGCTTTTCCATTTAAATTCTTTTGTCAAAAATTTACACAAAATCTCAATTGACAACTGTAACATATGACAAACTGTCAAGCTTCATCATGCTCTATAATTAATCATTTCTTTTTAATCTTAAAATTTCATAACAGTGCTACATTTGTTAATGCTTAATATGATGTTTCCACATGAACCAGCATTGCACAGCCCCAGTAACAAGTGTAATGCAAAAACTAACACTTGTTACTATATTGGTTCAAGTAGAAACATGATATTAAGCATTTAATCAATCGCAATATAAGTATATATATAGCGAAATTTATTGAGGTAATATTTCTGTATTTTTTTTAATCAGTCAATATTACTAATGAAATGAACTCCCATATCGGGATATATCACAATACCGGTATATAGCCCAGCCATACTTGTTGCGCTGTGTATAATCTTTTTTTTACCTTTAAATCTCTGTGTGCTATTTCCATTGAGTGTAAATGAGCTATAGCACTGGCAATATCCCTTATTATACCTGCTGCCTCTAAAAACAAACAAACCATATAAAATGTAACAATGATATATATACATGTAATATAAACCAATTCAACAAGGATAGTCTGGTTCTCCTGTTTTTAAACAATAATACATTGTGCCATATGTTGATTTTTAAGCTGGGATTATCCAAACATTATCTTGCTCTGTTTACCTCTTTCAGTAAATGCTGAGTCTGCTCTCTCTTGAATTCTTGTAAATAATTCTCCACCTTCCATACTGCAATAAAGTCAATATTTATACATTTTTAGCTGTATGCGTGCTCAAAATATCCCCCTAAACAAGCAGGTAAAGAAAGGGTACATTAGGTAAGAATCTTTCCTTCTAATGAAGATGTACATTCAACATTAAAAGTTGGACTTAATGATTGAAACATAGTCAGTCATATGATGAAAAGTTAGCTTTTGCTGAGAAATGGTTAAAAAAAAATATGTTATAAGTAAAAAAATAATATAAGTAAGATGTTATAAAAGGATATCAATTCCCAAATCATTCTAATGTAACACTGTTGTTTAAATTTTTGTGGCAAGAAAGTAAAATGTCAATGGGAGTCTAGTTTGAAATTCAGTAATCTATCAATATTTTTATCAAACTTTTAAACTTACCATTCCATAACCACAAGAAGGCATCTTTGACCAGAATAATTATTTTCAAAAACATCCATAATTTTCACAATATGTTTAGAATTTAAGCCAGCCCTCCAGTGAAGGTCAACTTCTCTTCTTGCCTTTGGTACATCCTTTAATACCTATAATGTACATTATACATTCATGCACCAGTATTCAATTTATCATTCTAAAATCTATCAAACAATAATTAATTTAGCCAGACAAATCTGGCCCTACCAGCTCCTTTTATTTGAGCTCAATTCATGCTCTAACAATAGAAAAAGGAAATTTTGTTGGTCCATCAAGACATTACCAGATATTCTATGATATCCCTATCACAGTACCACATTGTAGTCTATAATCTATGCCAGAGTGTTGATCACCTGGTTGGGGTTACAGTGGACAAGTCACATCAATGGCATTATCTTAAGATAATTGACAGGATTTGGAGAAGCACACACCTTTACCTCAATCACTGAATTCTCATTCTTGAATAAATTATATCTGAGGTGCATGTATGAGATTTAGCTATAGATCTAAATGCCTAAATAATACTTAAAATCAAGATAGTTTTGTTTGACGCTGCCCTGTCAGTGTTTAACGAAGAATGCAAGACAACTTGGCCCAATGTCAAACTAGGCCCAATTTTCAAGACAAACTTGGCACACTTTTCAAGACAAAATCGGCACACTTTTTACGCGAATTAGACTAAACAATGATAATATTTTTCAACAAACTCAAGTCCCAGGTAAAGTGGTCCGAGTTTGTAGTGAAAGATAATTATATTAAAATCAAAGAGGAAGGTCACAGTAAAGTAAGTTATAAAGTGGAATAATTTTGGTAAAAAAAAGTGGGCCGAGTATGTTTTGGTCCGAGTTGTCCTGATTCCCTTACCCAGAATTTTATAAATCTGATGAAACATGACATAGACACACACTCAGAACTATTGACTGGCTTTATATTTACAGTCAAGTAGCCTAATTTCGTGGAAACCTATTATTCGTGGATATCTGGAAAGGATTAATAATTTACATGAGCGACCTTGAGCGACCTTGCGCGACCTCCGCATTAGTTTGTTTTAATAAACATGACTTTTCTGTACAATATCAGCTTGTAGAATGAATCCAGTAGTTTTAAGCAAGGTAAAATGTATTAATGTATACTTTGACAAATACATAATGGCAGATTTCAGTTATTACCAAACGTCACCATTTTTTATTGGCCGAATTTCCATATAATCCCAAGCGGTAATCGGAGTTCCAAGTGTCGTCTGCTAGAATGTAGTCCAACGAATGAAGTCATGTGATCAACTACAAATTCCGTGTCAGAAGAAAATTTCTATGGAGCACAAAGTGGACCATATTCTTATGTTGTTTGAGTGACTTTTAGCAATAAATCACGCTACGCATCTTATTTTGTCTGTCACTATTATGTTTTTAAATCATGGTTCTTTGAAGGAATTGTCACTAGTTATAATTAATTGATATTAAAGATAAATACTAAGAGAAGTTAATTATACCACCTGGTATCTATACAATGTGTTTTTCTAGACTTATTTATAGATCAAACATTGTACACGAAAATAGGAAACGCATTCTGCCACCGTTGCCGAGTTGGTTGCTCATGAAATATGGGTCAAAGTGAAGGATTCATAAAGAAAATCGAAATAAACCAATTTTAATCATTTGGTAGAATATCTGAGGAAACCTCTAAGACATAAAAATTTTTTTCCTTTTTTTTTTTAACTTTGATGAAATTCGAGGTTGAATCCTTATATCCACGAAAATAGGTTACACCACTATAATAATAATCACAATTTTAGAATAAGGAAAAGGAAGTGATGTATGTAAGATTTGACCACAACTCAATTTGAATGACAACTAACCTTTAAGGCAAATTTTTCGCCTGATGCTCGATGAAAACACTCGACAACTCTTCCATTTATTCCCAACCCTAAAACAGTGCCTGTCATGCGATATTCATTAGAAATAGGGGTTTTTTTCGGTTGAAACCCCCTGGGCATTCCATCGTTCATCTTGTACAAGCGGGTAAAATATATCCTTGATTGTGAAATAACCAATTTTTTAACAAATTCAAGAAATTGTCGTATTTATTACACTTTATCTGAAGGAAGGCGGATGTCGGTGAACGGAAGTGGAAATGACGAAAAAAATCACTATTTTTAGCAACAATGTCGCAAAGGGAAAATCGGGATATTCTGTCACCATGGGTTCAACAAATTTGTTATGTGGATTTGATAAAAGAATAAAAAAAATTGTGCAAATGACTTAATTTCCACCTTTTGATTTGCCACTACACTCATACCTTGACATAATTAGGCATTGTTTTTATCGAATCTCAGAAGTTGGTTGTATTTTCTAGCGTACATTACCATCAAAGTGCCCAAAGATGTCAAGGTGAATGATCCAATGGTTTACTAGCATACATTTCCTGTGGATGAAAGAAAATACGGTTTATTTCTTTGCAACGAGTGTCATGCAAAATTTATCGGTCCGCAGTTTATCATCTTTTTGATCGTTTGATTACATTATTCCACCAGTGTTAAGAACGCCTGGCAAGTCTGTTTTTCGCCTCTGAAGTTGACTCTCCCAAACCATAACAATCTACATGTTTAGTCTACAATTTATTAGATGATCTTTACTTCTGATGTGCATAAACCTCGTGGAACGCAACGTAATATAGCCTACTTTTACATGAATATTTTGCTTACCCGAGTACATTTTTACTGTGGCCCGTATAATAGTGGAGGACTCAATCCTATAGTGTTGGGCTCAAATGAAAGACAAAAAAGTTTATAACATAAATCTTCTGTGTTTACCGTAATAATCATGCATTTATGCTATATCCTCTTTTTTATTGACCTTGCATGATAGGATGCATTTTGATATGCATTTAGATAAGTAACATAGGCTATATTAAATTCTTCAGATTCATGAGTAAAAAAAATTATCAGAATCCATTGATATATAAAAAAAAACTGTTACTATTCATACATTTCAGATTCTCAATATTACGGAAGGCGAATCTATTTTTTTAAACGTTTTCTACCTCTTAAGATGATCAAAAAATTGAAATTGTTAAACTTGGTTAAAACGTGTCTTTGTTCACCAATGGACTTAACAGGTGTCATAACTTACAGCAGAATCCTTCTATATTCCAATAAGTCAATATAACGAAGCAATAATTCATTAAACTAAGTAATTTTGAAACATGATTAGACGGGTGTATATCAAGAAATATTTACTTTAATGGATATATCGTAGAGTTGGGCGATAGATTTTTTTGTGTATCGTATCTCGATATAGACAATATTTTATGACGATAGGTTGGCATATCATGGTAGGCTATAGAAAATTTCCGGAAATAAACTCTTTGTAATGTATTGTTATAAAGCATCTCGTTTATTGTGTCTGCTTTAAACATGGGTTTCCTTATTTTTTGGTGACAAATTAAGCAATCTATTTGATTAATTTGTGTTTCTTATGAATTATCATGTATTCTTAATCATATCATTATGTTCTTATTGCATATAAATAAGAGTTTTAACCAATCATAAAGGTCCGTTTATGAACAGTCTGGATAAACCCAAAAAAATACTTTTTGATATTTCTTGATCTGTCACTCATTGGTATTCTGCTGGGAATTCACTTCTATAGCTAATTATAAGTTAATTATGGACATGTGAGACAAATTGATATTTTTCAAAGTCAGGAAAACACCTCTACTTTCTATTCACATAAGTATTAGCAATTGCATTTTGATCTTTAAATTATTTAAAAACTGACATCAAGCCCAAGATCTAACACGCATTGTCAAATTTTCATTTGATATGGTAAAGTAAGCCAAGCAATTTAGCCACCGGGCTTATGGGGTCGGGCTGTTTTCAGTTTGACACAATTATCTATCAAAACCAATGGTATCTATAGTGTTGCATTCCCATTGTACAATACAATACATGCATAGATTATGATAGCATTCCCTTATCAAACTCTTGCATTTACCGAGAGATATAGGTACTGTAATATGTAAAGAACACGCCATAAAAATCTCTCGAGGACCCAATAGTTTGAAGGAAGGGGATTCATGGACTAAATAGGTTGGGTTCTGACCAAAATGCCACAAAAGTGCCCTAGTGAGATTCACCAAATGGCGACCTGCCTAATTTAACAAGTATTATTCTTAATTATGTATGTGACATCTTCAATTATGCTTAGTTCTGACTGTTTATTGTGACCAAAATATCGCTCATCGCAACGGTATACCGGTATAGGAAAAATGTCAAATCATATCGTCCGGTCTTTATTTTATTTGTTTTTTTGCCCGATAATATCGTCTTATATGGAGATTCTATTCTTTTATAGTCATGGTACCTGGTTCAAGTTCAGCTGACGATACACTTGTGATTGTACATTTTGATACTTACGTTATTTTCATGCTTGTAACGAATTGAAACGCGGTCAACTTTTCTGCGCCTAATGGGTTAATGAAGACGGATAATGTGGGGTAAATTTTTACCAGAACAGCAGTAACTGTCGAAGGATATTCGGTTTATTGTCCCATCCGAACGACTTGACCTGTTAATTTCAGCCCCTACTGTCGAATCACCAGAGGCCGACTGGCATTCGCTCATCAGGATGGAATGAAAACAGCTATTGCATTAATAAGATTTATATATAAGACATCAAGCACATGTTACATGACTAGCAAGGATGACTGCAAACTTTATAATACTAATAGTGACCATGCATGCAATCTATAGTCTATATCAATATTCTATTTATAGCTATAGTCTTTATCAAACTAGTGTTCATATTCTCAACATCTCCCTCCTTTTAATTTAAATAACTATTTTAAAACTATGTATCACTAGTTTGATCTGAAATGCATACACTAATAATAATCTTTTCAATTAACACAATTATTCTGTTATTTACTTAATAACTTTTAATACACAACATAAATTTCGATGTACTGCTATTTAATCACGATATCGCGCAGGTTTAACAATTGTACGACCTGAGCGACGCAAGACAGGTTGTTCTACACGAACTGGAAATTGAGGAATATCAGGAGGTGGATCCGGTGGATTCACCTCCTGATGATTGTTAACTCGAATATCTATATCAATCGGATCAAAATCTTCATCGAACGCATTAGCAGCAAATCGAACTTAATTAGCAAGAAATAAATGTTTACGATTTCTTCGGAATAATCCGTATTTTGTCCTAATCATATATGAACGCGGTTGAGCACATTTGCATATTACGACTCCTGGAGTTCCACGTTTTTCCCAATCTAACTTCACTATAA